CAAAGTTGGTAATGTTAAAATACACGGGTGAGAAGGTAGAAAACAAAGTTGGTAATGTTAAAATACACTGGTGAATAGGTTGAAAACAAAATTGGTAATGTTAAAATACACAGGTGAGTAGGTTGAAACGATTTTTCCCAACCAAGAATATAGATGGCGCCTTTGTGATCTTTCCAAGAGTAGTTTACTTCTGTTGCCGGGATGTAGCTCTTCTCCTGGTGCTAAAAGAGGAAAACATATTTAATATACTTTAAATACAACAGTAGGAGTTTGATTTGAAATATCAGTACAACGGAAAACTACGCGGAACACATTTGTAAAGTACTAATTCGTGTCACACAATTGAAATAGGATATTTTATCATTCACAGTTGGAGAAAAGAGATAAATAGTTCTTTTTTATCAGATGAAAAACAAGCTGAATTTAAATCTTATAAAGCTCACCTTATTACAGACCTTTTCCTCACAGCATGGCATGGTCTCATCTTTTTACAATGACTCTTTTTTTCCATTCTTCAAATAATGATTAGGTAGAATATCCCCAGAAGCCCACGACTGATGCAAGGCCCCTTTACTAAACCAGTCAGATGCGAGGGTATCTGACAACCACGACCTCTTCAGTACCATTTCACCCCAGTTTAAAGAATAATCTTCAAAGGACCTCGACTTCGTTAGGGCGACCTTGTCCCGCTCGAGCAACGGGGTCCTATTAGTAGACCATGACTTGATGATTTCTTCCTTATGATAATATCGGTTGGACAATGTATCCAAGCTACCTTTAGAGGTATACTGAAGTTAGCTTTGGACCAGGAGACAAGGTGTGGTTGTATAATCCCAGGAAGACCAAAGGGAAGTCTCCTAAGTTGTCTTCTCCATGGGAAGGCCCATATGACATAGTGGATCGTCTCTCAGACGTGACTTTCCGGATAAAATGTGGTGCATGCCAACAGGCTTTGGCGTTATCACGGTCCAGGACATTTCAGTTGGGATGAAGTGAACAATGGAACAAATGACGCTGCTGAAGACGTGTCACCTGAAAAAGCCGCTGCCGAAGAAGAAACTCTATTCGGTTTTGAGAAGGGAAACAGTGAAGGCCTTGATGAAGTTACTATTACTGATGTGACTTTTACCAATGATAGGACGTTTCCTGATGAAGCAGATGAACCCCACATGAAGCAGAAGCCAACGAGACAGAGACCAGTGCGGAAAAAGATACGTCCCGAAAAATTAAAAGACTTTGTTGAATTTTAATTTTGTGTTTTTAAATTTTGTACATTTAATTAAGTTATTGTTAATTGTTTATTAGTTTAATGTAAGTGGCTATTGTTCGGGACGAACAATACTAAGGAAAGGGCAGTGTTACGACAGCGGAGGTCACGTGATTCTAGTAACACGTCATGCACTTCTAGAACGTTCATGAAACCTCGAGAGGTTACTAGATCCGGTATTCTTGTACATATAAGACGATCAAGACGTGACGGCAACAATGTAATGGGTAATTGAACTGCGGGCAGAGAGAGACATATTGTTGAGTCGAGCACGTGAGGCGTTCGTTGTGATTTATAGCGTGACTGTGAAAATTAAGTGTATTGCAAAGTTGTATTTAGAAAGAATAAACCAGTTTTATTTAAGAAAGGACTTGTATCGCTAAAGTTTCTTCGGGAAGAATTTTTACGGAAAATTAACTAACGACCAGAGACGTAACAATATATATATATTTATACATATGGGCCAGGCTTTCTTAAGTGTCCATTTTTCAACTGGAAAATTTGAAAAAAAAATATCCTATAAGTATGATTTATACAGTTCTTGAATATAACTACTGTAAAACCTTGTGCCAAAAATCTAGCACACGGGCAACATTCTGTAATATTTTTAAAAATCTAACACTCTGGCTACATTCTGTCATATTTTTCCACCTTGATGAAGATGAGTACTGTTTTTCACATGTGGTCTCCTTTACCACATTATATTGTACATAGAATAAAAAGCAAACAAATGGTTTTGTTAATAATTCCTTGGTGTTGAGACTATTGAACGTCGCGTGCAATACATTGACGTAGAGAATATAAAAGGCAGACAGATGATTAGGTGATGTCAGGATATAAAATACTGTTTGGTTTAAATATAAGTGATTAATTTACATTTGTGAGTGAATATTTTTATCATTTTTAGGTTTTGCTCTAATAAGAATTCAAAGCAGACGATTGTAGAAGGTTTTGTTGATAACTAATTGGTGTCGAGAATATAGAGAGTAGCCAGACGACTATGTAATTGTAATAAAGATATAAATAGCGTGAGAGAAAGCAGTAGACAGACAAAAATAGACAGATAATAACAAAAGAAAATATAATTGTATGGAGTTAAGTACGCAAAGGTGATAGGCCTAACGTTTAATATGTTAGAGTGAAACTAACAGTATAAAAAAAAAGATAATTTTATCCTGCCAAAGTGTGGTTCTAAAGTAATTGAATCAGCTTTATTTGTCGGACTTATATACTAAAGTAGAGGGCGTCTGGCAAACACCAGGGCTTTCATGATCCTTCTAGAAACTCATCACGCGTTACCAGCGTCACGTGACTTCCGCTATCGTAACAATATTAATTATAATATTCATATTATCATAATACCTTTTAATAAGGAAATGTCAATTATTCGTTTTTTGTATAACTTAAATATATTATTTTCATATATGGTTTTTCATTATTATGTTTCTCTGATAGATTTGTTTTG